CGGAAGGATGGAAGGCTGAGTCAACCCTGAGCCGGTGAGATTTGAACCGCCGAACTGCCGAACTAGCAGTCAGCTGAAATGGCCTGCAGTACTGCACTCTACCCACTGCGCCACCTCGGCTCTTAATTAATACAAAACATGTTTGCAATACTTAACATAAGGAAAATATCATAGAACAGTAATTCAGTCCCAGCTTTCTTCAACTCTTCTAAGAATTTAAGAAAATTCAATTCCATTTCACAGTTCCCTAAAAGATACAAAGTTAGGTCTTCCTCATTCACACATACTACCCTAAAACTGATACGTTGTGGAATGAATTGGGGCAGGGTTATTTTTAGCTTTTAATATTCTTTCCCCTCAGGAAAAGGGGAAAACAATCGTAAGTATAACATCAAGAAATCTTATTAAAAAGGAAGGCCTGCCAGGATCAATTTTTAGGATATTAGGGAGAAGTTGCAAACAAACAGAAGAAGCATCCATCTTCTCTAGGTAAGAAGGCTCCAAATCAAATAACTGCAGCCTGAATAGGTAAATCTAAAATATGGATCAGCAATGGATTTTTTTTTAAATGAGTCAAATGGCATGACTTTTAATTTTATTAGGTGTCTTGATGATCTGCTTGAGAAGTATACACTTTACAAATAAATAATACATTAGTGGCCAAAAATTTTTTTTAATTGCATATTAAAATATTCCTGTATTCTTGTGAGATTTTACAACTGCATCTCAAGATTTTGCACAAGGATACAACGTCCTACAAGATCAACACACTCTTATTACAAATGTCATGAAATTTCAATTCATCTGAATTAAATAATAATAATTTTGTGCAACCACAAATGCTGACTATGCAGTATCACAAGTAACTTGGCATCTGTGAGCAATCTTTAGTTGACATTTGGCCTATAGCAGAGTATTACTGCTTCCATATGTGTGTGTGCGTGTGTTGTGTATGTCAAAGCAAAACCCATGATAATTATAATTCAGAGAAAATTTAATGAACAATTTTGATGCTACCTCCACAGTCTTCAGAATAAAATTCATTTAAGTGTTAAATATATGAAAAATATGTAGAGGAATGACAATAGTAAGATTCTCTCACCTCTGGGATGATAGGAATAGGCTTTTTCTTATCCATTTGTTTTGGCTTTAAAATCACTTGGTCAACTTCAAGCATCCCAATAGGTGTATTAGGTTTGAATTTGATTGGTTTCTTATCAGGTGACATCAGATCAATAGTGTGGCTTGCAGGATTTAAATGGTATTGTGCACAAAGGTATACCAATAAGTCCATCATTGGTTTGCTAAAAAAAAAAAAGAATATTATATATAAATATTCAATACACTATGTCTTTTATCTCAGGCAAGTTTATAGATCAGAATATAGAAATTCAATATTTTTATTTTTCCAGGAGCACAATATATTCCTGGAGCACTGAAGTTATATTCAGCTAAGAAGCCCTCAGAATTATTGTTTGGGGCTCAGCTAGGATCTTACTCAGAGGTGGGTTTCTACCGGTTCACACTGGTTCGGGCGAACCAGTAGCGGTAATTTGGCCTGGGTCGCAGAATCGGCAACAACCCAGGCTGGCCATGCCCCCAAACTGGTTCCCTGATCTCTGCTCCCAGCATGTTTTTTATTAGCTTTTCATGGTCTTTGCGCATGCGCAGAACAATTTACAGTGAACTGCGCATGTGCGGGCAATGTGTGTCTAGTGTGCATGCTAGCAAAGTGAACAGATACTAACGCCGGTAGGCATCCACCTCTGATTTTACTCTTCTTTTACTCCTCTGGGTAGGGCAATCTAAATTCCTAAGAGCATATTTCAGGTAGCACACTGCATCTCAAATGCAGTAGGAAGTCTCGACTAGCCAAAATCGAGACAGGAACATGGATTTACATTTTTGCACATTGGTTAAAACTACTCTTTTTCCTTACAGGTTTGAGTTTTTTCCTTATAGAACACAATTTCAAATCAGTATGGTTCAGGACCATCTCACAAAAACTCCAGTATCTTGATTTCTCCAGGGAAGTGCTTCTAATGAGGGGGGTAAGGGTGTGCACTTAAACAATGTATTAAAAATCTGGAAATCCAACAAGATTGGGCTGCTCTTCCAAAGAATGTTTATTTCAAACTCTCCCCTTTAAAGCAGGAAGATATGTACATCAAATAACCATTCAAAAATCCAAGGGCATTAACCCTTAAGGGCACTGCAATGAACTTCCCACAGCACTTTTGGAGAGCCAATACAAAAAAATACCATATGAGCTGAGATTATGCCTCTGTGGACAAGAGACTACTGAAACTATAGCTCAAATCCTGCTGTACTGCATCTTCTATACGGACGTATGGACTCAATTGATAACAACTTACCTAATAAAACATCCAGGAAATACTGATCTTTTTTATGTGCAACTACTGTTATCAGATCAACATGAAATTGCTTCTCTGAATGTGGCCAAATTCTGCTATGCTATATGTAAAACTAAGCAAACTTTAATGGCCACTGTTAATCCACCACCAATCACAATATTATTCTATCTTTTATTTTTATTTTTTACTATTATTGTTTTAATCCTTTTATTTGCTGGTCTGTGACCATAATAATAATTGATTGACTTCACTACATTGTGATAGCATTAGTGTGAAGATATAAGTGCATGCATCATTCTAGCAGAACTGCCACTTGCTGTGGAAGCCACTGCGTAATAGTGGCTGCCTTCACTATAAAGTATTATTTTTTCATGCATGAAGCTTCCTACATTCCTAAACCTTTGAAGGATTTGAAATAAATTGATTGTATCGTTCATAAAGGAATTCCTACAATGCAATCCCCACCCACATTAATAATGCTTAGAATTACTACATTTTTCCTTTCTCAGAAAGGTAACTAGCATTATTTTGGATCGGGATTGATGTCATCTGTGGTTTAAACTCTTCTATCAGAACCTTTATAAGAGATAAGTCATTCTTTTCCTCTTAATATATCCAGGTGTTTGTTTTAACAAAGTGATTATTGATTTCCAACAGCTGGGTACTTGCTGACACAAGCCAGCTGTCTACATTGATATCACGAAATGCAGTTGCACAGAAATATCTGAACACCTGGGCGAGTAAAAGAAAAGAACTTTTGTAGAAATGTCATTGACTATTTTTTGAAAAAAAGAAGAAAAAGTTTGAATTAAAAAGTTGAGTTTAATTTTCCATATATAATACTGACATTCTGTACAGAGGTTTTTCACCATAATCTGTATCTTTAAAGTAGTGCTTGGCTTGGTCCTAATAATGAATAGAAGAGATGATGTGAAATCAATTCCCTACCTCCTAATAAAAGCTTTCGTCCACAATAATAAGAGCCTTACTTAAAAAAAAAATTTAATTTGGCTTTGCATCCAACTAATTGTAAACAGAACTAGTGTTCCTTAATATTTCACTTACAAAATAAGCATTCATTAGTAACCTTTTTTTAAAACAGGGATCTGCAGAAAAGCAAAGAATGTAAACAAATTAAAGGATTGCCCTAGGAAAGAGATCATTCACTGAGTGATCAGAATATTTTTTGAAATTTATAAATCTAAGTTTAAAATACTGAAAAACTGGCTACCTATGATTCTTTAGTTATCTGAGCAATCAACGCATGTTTGTACTGCGCAGAACAACACTCTAGAACATTCTCTAGCTCGTCACAGTGAATTCTCCCAGTTCCAAACAAGAATTGAGCCACCAGTAAGAAAAGGTGAAGAGACAGTATAAGCATGGTGAAAAGGGTAAACAATCATTTAAAGAACTAATTCTGTACATGGATTTCTGCGTATTGTATATCAGATAATTTGGTTTCTTCTGTGAACTCACTGTCTTTGATGTGTGAGTCATCAAGAATCCATGAAAAAATGTGAATGGTAGGTTATAATGGTTCTTTTGATCTTTCAACTATAGAAACTATTTAATAGGAATGAAAGATGATATTTGACAGAGTCAAAGCAAAGATCAACAAACCCAAGGAACTAGTATGGAAGGACTCACATCTCAACAAATCAAGAAGGCATCTACAGTAACAGCAGAGACTCTGAGGCTGAGAAAATGTTCCACCTGATTTGCTCAAATTCAGCTGCAGCATGAAAGGAATGTGGCAAATATCTACTCAATCTTTGGTTAAAGATACACAGCAAGAAACTGAATCCATTATTTCTCCTGTGAAAGAAGATACTTTGCATGCAGAGAAGCGGAACTTATTTCAGTTTATGTAAGAACCAAAGGTTGGAAAGAAGTGTTGGTGTGTACAAATAATGCTTGTGATTTTTTCTTTCTTTTGCATGGCAAATTTAGAAGGGAGAGCACCAAACTCAATGGCATTCCCCTCAGTATATATCCAGCAATCTGATATCACAGTTTTACAAGTTTCTCTAAAGTGAATCAGTGTGCCTCCAAACACAAGGCTGTGAACATGAAAAGGGAGGGGGTGATAAGAATAGCCAAAACCAGTTTAGACTTGATCTCAACATCTCTAGGGGGGAAAGAACAGTTCTTGAAAGAATGAAAAGATCAGACAGATCTAACAGTTTAGGATGAACAGTAAGGCTGAAAGCATTGCTTAGAAATGGTTCTATGGTTCCTACAACAATGCATAGAAAAGGAGGAATGCTGGTTAATGGATGACACAGAGTAGCGTTGCTCTCTACTGTATTCTCTCTCCAGTATGGTTTCAAGATTCACTGATAGACCAGATGCATGACTTTTCAATGCCAATATTTTAACAGCAATCAATAGTTTGAAAACCATGATCTGCTCCTTGGAGAGATAGCATGGTAGTCTCTAACACTCAAAAATGGTGTATATGCTAAGCATCTTATCTCATATATTATCCAAAGCCATTCTAGTGTCTGATCCTCCTTATCACTAGAAGCAATCAGTATCCCAGTGCAAACTTGAACTTTGACAAATGGCCATCATTACTAAATATCACTTTGTATTAATGTTAAGAGAGTCATTTCAAAAGACTGAAGGTTGACTTTTATCTATTCAAAAATATTAAACCTGTGCAGTAATTGTTCACATAAAGGATACTGATTGTTTCTAGTGATATCTTCATAATGAGAAAAAGGAGACTGGTCTACTATCAGTCTTCAGATGAAGACAAAAATTGAGTCAGATTCTGAATATAGATACAATCTATCTAGAGCTTAAGAAATGAACCAGTCCATCTATGCAGCCTAAAGATATACACAGCTATGAAATCTGAGTGGATTACAATAATCAAGAATTGGTAAGAAATGGCAATGTAAAGATTAAAAGTATCTAATTCTGAAGAGAAAAGGAGAACCGAAAGCCATGTAACTATAGCAGACAGGTGTAAAACTAAGCTCTACGCTGGTATAGCCAATCTTATGATATTAAACCCCAAGAGTCCTACAATAGTCCCAAGACCTGAATCCTGGATGATAATAAGAATCTTACAAGGTTGGAAAATTAGATGCCAATTACATGATTTCTATGGAAAGCCTGGCTGAAACCAACATTGGTCCATTCTTCAATGTTGTTCAAAGCTGGCATATCTCACAAGATAAACTTTGAAGGGAAACAAAAATGGAACAATTTCAACATGAAATGTCAATACCTTCATTGCTGCCTAAAATTAAGTATATAGACATTCTGCTTAACTGGAAATAAAGTTTGTTCTTAATCTATTTTGCTCATTTCCTACTGAAGATGTTTGATGTAATGAAATTCTGTTTAAATGATTATAACCATCCTGAATACAGAAGATGGCAATTTTTAGCCAAATAAGTTGATATTAAAAAGCTAAATACTGTAGAGTGGTTAGTATCTGGATGGAAGAATATTAGGAAATCCCTCAGTTGCCAACTAACCTGGAAAATTTTAGCATCTATGAAGGTGACAATCACAAATATCTTCCACATCACTGACAAAAAACATGGGCGTGTCAGGAGTGAAGCTTAATGTGAAAGATTTCCACCTTGGCATTAGTACTGAAAGTCTCAGAATCTGTGTGTGAGATTGGCAGTCATGTAAATAATTTAACTTAATAAATTATACGCAAACCCATGCCCCTCTGAAACACCAGTTTTCATCCACAAAACAGCCTCAAAATTTTGGTCAACATACCTGCCGTTAATATTAGTAGTCTTGATCACCTCTCCAGGAAGAATCACAGACAGCTGAATGTCTCTGTCAATTGCATTTTCTTTTTGGTCCATCGTGCAGTTAGCCAGTTCTAGATCATCAAATGATGAGCAATCAGTAACTTTAGTTTCAGGTGGAGGAAGGGGAGCTTTTGACTTGGCTTTCCGCCTATAATAAAACAAAAATGGGGGGGGGGGGATTAGACAAAGTAAATTCAATGGAAAATATTGAATTTCCCAACACCGGGAAACAAGACATTAGTTTGATACTAGAAGACCCTCTATTCCCAATGGATTTTTTAAAATTAAAAGAAACTATATAATCCTTAAACATGGAAAGGAAAGCAAGTAAATAATCAGTAAACTTTACCAAAGCATAGAGTAAACTTTCTATCAAAATGCATTTATCAAACAAAAAAGACAGAGTGGCCAAATTAAGATGGTGTCCAAATACTATAAATAAACATCCTAAAAAGACTTTTACTTGATTATGCAGTGCAAGCATGGGCTCTTCACCCCCAAATCTGGTATTATGTTTAACTAAATGCTTTAATTTCTGAATCTCTCAATCATACATTTTAAGTTATGTCATGAAAATAATTAATGGTGTAAGTAATTTGCTGCTGTTGTAGTTTACTTAATAAAGCATTCTTGATTTATTAACATTTTGCCACCTACGTTTAAATTTCATTTGAATATATTTATTCAAACATTACTGCACCACTTTTTGAGGTACCACAAATATTATTTTTTGCAAATCCTAGAATACTTTCTGCCTGCCATTGCCAAAATTAATGCATAGTTTGATTTCCCACTATTAGACCTAAATACACAGCAATTCTAGTGTAAGCCTTGTAGATAGAGAGAAGTAGAATGCCTTAGGTTTAATAGGGGGTTGGACATATAAAATATCCCGCTTTATATTTTTCTCTTGGCTGGCGTTTTGCAAAAAGCCCCTTCACTCTTCTACAATCACCACCTAAGCCATGGATCACAAAGCATCTTCTGATGCCTCATGACTGATACGTTTATATATAAGCTGGCCACATCTCCTCCGCCTCTTTTCCTGATAATTCCAACCCATGTATCTTACATGATACTTCCTAACAAGAAAGAAGGAGGCAATTGTTGCCACTCTGTAAGAAAGACAGAAAAAGAGCACTGTTGGATCTGATCCAAAGCCTGTCTACTCCAGCATTTTATTCCCACAATGGCAGATATGACACCTATAAACTTACAAGTGAGGCACTAGTACAATGCCACACACTCACAAATGTTTCCTAGTAATGGATTATCAGGAACATAATATCACTAGGCTAAATGATAAATACCTGTGGTGACTACGGTAATTGCCAATGACAGACTTATGTTCCGTGAATTGGTTTAATCCCCATATAAAATGGTCAAATAAACAGCCATTGCTATATTTTAGAGAAGCACATTCCACACTAAGATATAACTATGCCATAGTGAAATAACTTAGTTGTGTCCTCCCTCTCCCATCAGTGAACGTTATTGCTTGATCCTGGTTTCTAGCATGTTTTCCCGAAAATATGACCTACCCCAAAAGTAAGTCATAGCTTCATTTTATATGTGCGCCCAATATAAGCCCTACCTCCAAAATAAGCCCTTATTAAGACCCTGCCCACTCCAGGGTCCATGGGTAAAAATTAAACTATGGAGGGGATGGATGGTGGTGGAGCTGCCCTACTAGTTATCTTCAGACAGTTGCAGCCAGGCCTCACAGACCTGCCTTGCAGGCACATTTATTCTGCAGCCAGCAAGCTTTTACTGAAGGCCTCTGCCGATAACAGAGGCCTCTTGATCAATCTGGAGCTCTATTATTGGCTGCAGAGGCCCTCAGGAAAGACTGGCCAGTCACAGAAGAAGTTTCTGAAGGCCTCTGACAGGGAAAAGGAGGCCAGGGGAGACACATGCAAGTGATGTGATTCAGTGGATGACATTCCCCTCCCCCAAAATAAGACTTGGTGCCTTTTTTGGTGGTGAAAAATATAAGACAGGGTCTTATTTTCTGGGAAACATGGTAGTATCCAATTATATCATCATACTTTACATCTATCTATGATATTTGCTCCACCTCTCTCCATCTTCTTGTTTAAAGCTAAAATCCTCAAATACTGTCTTTCCTCACAAGATAGTTACTGCAATCTCTCAATCATTTCTGCAAAATGCTCTTTTCTGTGGAATTTCCAGCTCTACAAGACTGTTCTTGATGTATGTCGGTCAAAATTCAATAGAAATGTTCAAGTCTATTCACTATATATTTTATAGCATTGACACCAGAATATAACTTTACTCTTTCCTACTAAAGTTATGAATGTAATTTGGATTTCTGACATTGCTTTACAGTCAACACTCTATCCCGGGTCGGCAACCCTGAGCTGCATGCAGTTCTTTGGGCCCTCTGCTGTGGATCCCTGTCCATCACTGGCTGGCCCTGCCCCTCGCCCTCCCCTCCCAGTCCCTCCTCACCTGAGAAGATAAGGGTGACGGTGGGGGATGGAGAAGTGGCCTGACATGGATGTGACTGATGCCGGCCTCACTAAAAAAAGGGCTGGCAGGGTGGGAATGGGATCACGGAGGACGGGACAATGATGGAAAGGGGACAAGCCCACAGTGTCCAGCTGCATCTTTAAAAAGTTCAGAACAGTGGGAAAAAGAGGCTGGTCATGCCGAACCTCACACACCCATCCCTGAGGTCAAGCTCAGAGAAAGCCGGAGCGCCCTCGCCAAAGATGCTCACCCGTCAGCCAGTCTCCCCCCCCCCTCTCTTCCTACTCTCTCATTTCCAGCAAGCTCTCCTTGGGGCTCTTTGCTACTCCTTTTCTTTGTTCTTGGCAACTTTTTGGAAATCTGGACTGACTGAGGAACGAGCGCAAGGTACGGTGGAGGCTTCCCTTTTTCTCCTCCTCCTCCCACTCCTCCTCTCGCGATCCCCTGGCCAGCTATGGCAGGGCCGGGAGGGTGTGCATGAGTGGGAAAGGCTAAGGTAGATGTCTCTCGTCAGAATATTAGGTAGAAAGTCCTGCATTTCAGATCTATTTCTCCAGTTTTAATTTGCATAGGAATAGGGAGCAGGCCCTAAACCATTAAGTGGAAAATTTGTATATGAAGTCCAACCAGTTGCTGTGATCGTGTTCAGCAGAGTATTTGAGGCATTCCTTCCTGCAGTAGGTGGATGCCTGGATGCTGTGCAAAGCAGCAACATGAAGAAGTGGAGTTACTTAGTGTAACAATGCTTATATTGCAATTCTCCATTGCAAGCTGTGGCTTTCTATACCCATAAACCTGCTTCTCATGAGGAGAAAAGGACAGAGACATGATTCTTCACTTTTATCTCCTTTCCTTGTCTAAAAGGGTTCTTTGGTTGTCTTTAGGAAACATGCCCCCTTATTAGTCAGATGGCTATTATCAGGACTCTTATCACTTCTTCCTTTCTCTTTCACTTCAGCTTTCTCCTCTGACTCTGAGCTGTACAGTTCAGGTTCTCACCCAATTCCCTCACTACAGATCTTAGTTATAGGTAGATTTAAATAACTCGGGCTTCCCATGTTAATCCCTGAATAGAACAAAAACCCAGATTCAGGAATATTTTTTTATAAGCTGCACTGCTAATTTTAGTGTTTTTCTTTCTACATTCTGTTTCCCATAATCCACCAGCCAAAATATTGTAGAAACCCTTTTCAAGAATGCTTGGGGAGGGTTTTAGACAGAAGGAAAGGGCACTGGCAGCTATTTAAATAAAGGCCTGCTATAGTGTTCCCTCTCTCTCTTATAAAAGTAGTGCATTTAATTATCAACTATGCCACAAAAAACTGCAAAATTGTTTTTTTAAGGCTTTGACTGAATATTTGGGGAAATGCAATTTCTTTGTTCTTTCATTAGACATTTCTAAAAAATGCTAAATATGTAAATACTTGTACAAACATTCCTGAACCCTACAGTAGTAAAGGAAGTGCAACAAGGAAATATACACATCAAGTTAAAACTGCACAATCAAAGACTTTGCAATGCCTCAAGGGGATTTAAGTCTGGAATGCAACAGCACTTAACAGTATAATTTCTTGGGGGGGGGGAATTAAGTGGTTCCTGGAATTAATGAGCTTTATTACAGGACATGGCCTATTACAAATTGTGAGAAAACTGCTTTCGCAAAAGTATTTTTTGCTGAGATAACCATGACAAGAATGGATTGCTCCTGGTCATGGGTGGGCCTTCAAAAGATTTCTTTGCAAATGTTAACATGTCATACACATTAAAACTACCACAACTGAGTTGAATTCACTTCTAGTAGCAAGAGTAATATGAATGTATTGCCAGTTAAATCACTTAAATAATCTCAATTGTATTAAATCTACTAAAAATAATTACACCTACAAAGTTTTAAAAAGGGTATTAGGATGCTTTAGAATAGAATGTCTACATTCTCCAAACCATCTTCATTAAATAATTCTAACCTTCATTAAATAATTTACAGTAATATAGCTCACTTACTTACATTTTTATACTATCACATTCTGGCAAGACTCTCAGTAGTTAACAGCACATATTAAAATAGGTAAAAAATTTAGTAAAAAAATCTGCAATATGAAAGAAATATTGTTCATTCCTCTTCTAGCAACTATCTATGTAGTAAAAGCCCTACAAAACAGCTCAGTTTCCATGTCCTTCCTGAATGTCAAGAGACTGGATACCATTTGGAGTCATAACTAAGGAGCACTGGTGGGATACTTTTGCAACCTCATCTTAGGCTTATGATAACACAATTAACACGCTAATAACACAGTGACTGCAATCAATAAACTTGAATTTTGGCAAAGATGATATGAGGCTTGGTCAATATTATTAGGAATACCAAGGATAATTTTATCACTACTTGAAATTTTACATTTGTGCAAGGCAGTAGATTTATGTAACATTTTTGAATAAGAAGAAGATGAGAGATCACCAAATTGTGCTCTGAACAGCTACTCCTTGCAAGAAGACTGAAACAGCAGTCATTCTGTTGGTCTGAGCACCAGGAGACAAGGAAAGCCATTCTCAACCCTGGCAGA